TAGGATCAGTCCTGCCCTGGTGGGTCAGTGGCCGATGAAATCTCTGCACAGATACAAAAGGCTCGACTGGCTCTCGTCAACTTACGCCACCTGTGGCGCCGCCGTGATATCCGATTGTCTATTAAGGGTAGCGTGTACTGCATCAGAACAGCAGTCCGCTCTGTTCTGCTATATGACTGTGAAACATGGTCATTGAAAGTGGAAGACATGAGAAGGCAGGCTTCAAGTGTTTGACCACCGTTGCCTTCGTAGTATAGGCCGTATTCCGTGGTGTCACCACGTGGAGTAACGCAGAAGTCAGGTGTAGAGTTTTAGGGAGAAGAGGTAAATCAGTTGACGAGGTTATGAACCCTCATCGACTGAGATGGTTAGGACACGTACTACGTATGCCTAGTCACCGATTGCCTCGTCACACAATGTTGGCTGAGGTGGGTCCAGGCTGGAAAAAAGTCCGAGGTGGCCAGACTAAAACATGGCACCAATGTATGAAGTCTCTGACTGTTGGTTTGAGCCATGTTGGGCGAAGCAGACTAGTCGGTTGTTGTCATGCGAGACAAGAGGAACCAGTGGTTGGAGACTTTAGGTGATATAGCTGGGAACCGATGTCAGTGGCGCAGATGTATACACACATTATCTTCATCGTAACGACGCTATACCGAATCTCACCACTTTCTCATTCTTCCTTTCTTTCTTTTCGTACTTTATATTTCTTTTGACTGGATTTTCTTATCTTCGTCTTGCAGTTCACTGACTTTTACATGATGTACTGATATGGGGTGTGACAACTCAGACTGTTACACAGTAATGCCTGGTGCTATGTTGACATTGATGATGACGATGAGGATTGAAGTTGAGAGGGTTGTTTCGAATCTGAAACTAGGCGAAGCAGCTGGACCTGACAGTTTGCCACGTGAAGTGTTCAAAGATGGAGGTAGGTAGTTGCTGCTTGAAGTGACGGAGGTACTAGATAGTGTATGGGAATCAGGGGCAGTGCCGTCAGATTGATGTACTTCACTGATTATCCTAGCCTATAAGAAGAGGGGAAATGTTTCTTGTGATACCCATAGGAGAATTAGTTTGACTGATATTGTGTCCGAGATATTAGGGTCCATAGTCATCCGACGCCTAACTGGAGCCCGAGAACAGCAAACTCAAAAAAACCATGCAGTTTTAAGACATACCTGGACGAGGTTACATCGACCAGATTTTCATCTTCCGACAGTTTCTGGATTACAAGCATACCTACCAGTGACCGACACATGCCACATTTCTTGATCTAAAGGCGACATTTGACTCTTTCAACCGTGAGGTGTTGTGGAAGTATCTGACTGTGAAGAGAGTACCGAGCAAGAATATAACCCTAATCAAATCTTTCTGCTCAAACTAGCTCAACCGTGTCAGGGTCCATGGAAAGTTGTCATGTGGATTGACGACAACTTGTGGTGTGCGCCAGGGATGCCACCTGTTAGTGTTCCTATTTAAATTCATCGTGCACTCACTCTTTGACATCATCTAAAGCTTGAACATTTTCCCTAAGCTCTATCTTCAAATTATTTATTCTCTCATACGACTTTGTCTGTTTCGATATCACACTTCTTTTGTCCCCTTGTTCTTTATATGCTACTGTAAATGTGGTAACTTGAGCCAATGGACCTATGTGCGAGGTTCTACGTTGATTTTGTCAGTAGGTAATGGCTAGAATGCAATTGCCGACCTCGTTATCTACCAACTAATAAACAACAACTAACTCAAAGTTCAACTTCATTGTTCTTTATAAGCTGGAATATTTAACGAAATGATAAAATACACATATATGCGATCTCCCGATAAACAGTGAGGTGAAAATAGTGGTGCTGCCAATTTTTATGAAAATAAAACAGCTGAGTGTCTTCTAACTTTTATTTTTTTTAACAATCATATGACAGAAAGCACCGACTATCTAGTCATTCAACTGATAAACTCCGCAATTTGACGGACACAATTTGATCAACACTGACCACTAAACAGCATGAGTAGGAAGGAAGGGATTCACAATCTCCAAGTCGATATGACAAGTGAGCACTCGATATATTGATAACTAAAGAACATAGTTATCAAAATAACTATAAATGATTGACTGAAAACACTGATTATTCGGCTTAGCAGAAATTGCTGAAGTGGTGAAAAAGACAGTGAATTCCGTTCACACGATATCAAGTATGTGTGTATACAAGATAGTAACATGAAATAACAGCTACCAATATCACGTCGAACTTCAAGAAATATGGATAAAAAAGGAAAAATATGAAAGTTGTAAATTGATTCATCTACGGTCAAATACAATTTGAAACTACTAGACTAACAACGACCACGTCCGCAGCTGCAAATTCATCTCTTTTGCTCTCTTTTTTATTCTGAGCTCTGACATTTAATTTATTTACAAGTATACTGTTCCTTCAAACACTTAATATGCCATACTCAATATGCATGGATGATAACTGGAAAATGCAGTAGAAAAACTTACTCTCGAGCATGTTCTCTATTCTCACCCGCTGAGAATATATGACCGAACTGTGAATCAGCAAATTCATGAATTCCACCAGCACTACCAACACTGAAGTATCCCCAAACTGACTGGTTACTTCGGAAATTCAATTCCCTTACACCACCAGGTCGAGGTTTAAAGCCTTCATCAGGATCCTCACTTGTTATACGCGCAGCGATTACATAACAACTTGGTGGTCGACGATTGATGTTTGGATCATCAAAGTCAATATATGAATCAGACCATGGAGAAACAAGATAAAGTTCACGAATATCTTTAATACGATGTAAGGGAATCCCCATAGCAATCTAAAATAAACAAAGTAATTATCAAATAGTATTCAATAATTAATGAACTGAACAAGGATAAATTAGAACTATAAAGAGCTCCATTCTTGCACACTTAGTTGACACAAGACGTCAAGTGGTTACTGGAAAAGCCTTCGAAATCACCCATCAGATTCCAATTAATTTACTTCATGGATTACGCACTCGGTTACTTCATATGGCAGAGGCGATTGCAATCCACCTTCACAAACCTAGCCTTTGTACCCAAAAGAAGTTTGTTCTACCACTTTCATTACCGTGGCCGTCAACATGATGTAACTTCTGGGTTTACTTTGTGCACCTCTTCCCTTTCTTGTTTCTATCAATATTCGTATTTCCTATTTTAGTAACTCTATTGATTATTTACATCATAATTTCCGAAACATCACCAGGTGATTGGTAATTTGATTAAATTGTAAACCTATATATTAGTGTAGAGCCCAAGATGAAGACCTAATTGAAAAGAAATATATTTCTTCGCTCAATCAGTCTTTTTCTGAATGCATATTTGCTTATCAGAAACACTGCTGTATGAGAATAATGAGTCAACTCAACAACCACTTGCGCGTTTGAGCACTCAGCTAAAAGTTAAATGTGTTCGCAAGCTCATGATATTACTCAGTTCCCAGCATTTGACTGTATATTTTATGTAATTGAATGCATGAATATATTTTCACTATAAGCAAGTGGCGATATGGATTTTTTAAAAATAAGTAATAACAAGTCATAAACTGAAGGAAAAAAGAGAATTTCTAATAGAAAGTTTACTCAATAGGAAGGTAACGTACTAGGAGGTTGAAACAAACTGAAGTGACCGACGGAATCATGACTAAATGCTGCAAACAAAAAATATGCTTAATCAACCATACTTACAGCGATTTCGCCATACGTGAGCAATGCTACGAAGATATCAATGATCAAAAACCTAACTGCTTAGTGGATTCGATTTTCAATGCTTATATCTCACAGTCGTCTAAGAGAAGACAACGGATTATTGTGCAGTAAACCCTTTCTTCGATGCGTGTCAAAGGGACTATCAAGCTGACAACATGCAGAATACTGGAATAAAGAATGAAGTTTTTGTCATTTTAAAGAGTTATGATTAGCGAATAAAAATCAGAAATTGAATTCGAAGAGTACTTCATGATCCGATGTCGAGTTCATCAACTATAAGTTTCCAAACTATTACAAGGCCTTCCTAAACGACGTAATAAATCCCAAACATAAAACAGCATATTTCACACAGCAACTGACATCTATAATTAGCTATTTGATAGGTCATCCTAACTAATGAATTTATAGATAAATGATAAACAGGTGAATCTGTTTGTTGAAACAAATTCAGACAGTGAGATATTATCTGGTACTCAAGTGATTACATTCTGAGTGAGGCAACATTTCTTTGACCCTGCATAAGTCTGTCACAGAATGTGATATTAGGGAATGGGTCAATAGGAGCAAATATAACATCAACTATTCGGGGATTCACAAACATGCGACCTTGAAAGTAATTAATCGTTCAAAACCAAATAGTTTTGAGTAGTTCTGAAGCTTATCAACATTGATTTCTTCAACTGTGACAGCTGATCTAATGAACCTTCTTAGTGAATGAAAGGGAAACGGTAACCAAGAAGTTGTTTTACTCCTACGACTATATACATAATCCTAATTAAAGTGGTTGTGAATAGTTGCATCACAGCAAATGGATATAATTCTAAGATGCATAATCAGCTGAGAATGTGGGATAACTTTCAGCGAAATACTGCTGATCATCATGTTCAGCTTACAGTACACCACCATCTAAGAAAGTGTTATTGCGTAATTAAGTTTTGATAATATCTGCACCTGACCCCATAAGACTGGATTAGGTAATCCGACTAAAGTTGCTTTTATTTACAGATATTAACATCAACGGACAACCAACAGATATAGCTCACAACCTAGTAGGAATTCCTACTTGCTCATAAAGTAATACTGACAGACATAAGTGACAATGAAAAATCTCGTTAAAAACATGATTCAGTTCATTTTTTCTAAACCTCTCAACAGCACAAAAGGAGGAATTCAGCAAAACTGATCAAATAAACAACACGATAAACAACTGGAGAAAGGTGGTAAGTAAATGACCATTATTGAAGCATTCATGATTTTGAAAAGCATTGAGCGTAAATATATCTTCGTCAGTGCGATCACGTGTGGGCTAAAAAAGAACACCTAAAGCGTCAAAATAGTCAGTTTAACACAGCAGTGATTTCATGCTAAACTAACTAGCACGGCTTACAATAACAATAATTTAATTCAAGCTTTAGATTTATATCCTACGTTGACTACACTCAGCTTTTCTTTTATATAGTCCTATGTCAGAGGAGGTTGAGGCTTTGTGTACACAGATTTGTCTTCGGTGTCAGGTGATCTGAACTTAAGCCCAACATAAATAACTTGATGAATAATACTTCAAAGCTACTTCTGATCAAATACTTCTCTGTCCGAATAAATTCCACCATCAGATGGCAAACTAGACTGTGAAGCAGGTAACTCGCTTTTGGATACACATAAAAATGTCTTCCTGACACCATGGATAATCTACGAAGGAATCTATCTTTATCTGTAGCGAAATTTCACCAACTACGTGATTGGGGTTGATTTTACTGAACGAAAAGTGTATTACTCCTTGTTAGCTGAAGAGGAAACATGAAATAAAAACAAATGTATGTTATTCTGTAAATCATACTCTTACTATCTTGATAGAAAAAACAAAGTGAAGCAAACAATAGCACGTGAATTGTATGAAAACTATCGAGAGAAAAAAAGATGTAGAACTCACTTGTAATTGACATGCAGGTAAATTCACTTCAGCAACTACTTCTGTACACGGATGTTCAACTTGAAGACGTGGATTCAACTCCAGAAAGTGGAATTTATTCGAATAAGGATCATATAGATATTCTACTGTGCCAGCGCTAACATAACCAACTAATTTTGAAAGACGTACAGCAGCCTGTGAATTAGTAATAAAAAGAAAGGATAACCAATTATATGAAATTCGTGAAAATGGCTATCTCTTTGCATCTAAATTTACCATATTGGCGTTCATATTCCTTGTGATGATTTAATTATTAACTTTAACCCCAAGACCATAGCAGAGTACCACGCACTTCACAATGAACAGTACATAATGCGTGACGGTTTATAAGACTACTATTTAACACAGGTCAAAGTAAAACAATATTCTGCAAACTTACTTTGAATATACATTGGATGCTGAGATTATGTCCCTGCATTTCACTTGTCATCGATCCTTAATCCATAAACCACCAGTCTGATTATAGAAACACAGGTGACCAATGTAAAATCTCGCAATAAGGAGCATAGCTTCAAGTTACCACATCAAATACTAACATGCAAGGAACAAGTGCATAGAAGAAGAGTGATATCAACGTAAACAAAAGTCTATGAGAAGAGAAAGAGTTTCAAAAATAAAGGTTAGCAGAACTGTTAAAGGTTTTGAAGACTTCAAAGAGCAATCATGACTGATCTTCATCCGTTTCACCAAGTGACACCAACTATTGATTCTCATTACCGAAAGGATCTCAACCAGGCAGGCCACACACTCCTAAATAGATCAGACTAACCAGTAAAGACTTCATGAATTGGTGCAACATTTTCGTCAGGGCACTTCAAGCCTTCTTGTAACCCAGTACAACTTCCGTTAAGATAAGGTGGTGTGTCAGCATTCGTGACACATATCCAGGTCACCTCAATCGGTGAAGCTTCACAACTTCGTCGACTGACTCACCTTCCCTGCCTACTATCCTACGACTGACCTCAGCACTGCTCACATGATGATCCATCACACGCGAGCGATGTTACGAATACATCTTTGATCGAAACTGCCAATGGCCATTTCTAACAGACGAATGGTAAGAAATAGAGAACTGCGGCTTTGCAGCATACTCAACCTTGAAAAGATAGTGAGATATCTCACCAGCGATAGAGATCAAGTAATCTGGTAAATATCAAACAAGACATCTGCATGCAATAAGAGATCTCGAGAGCAAAACGCCAATTTTAGTTGATGCAACGAACCAAATCGAAATCCACTCACAGCAACCTTGCGCACATTCATGCAGTAGGCAATGAGCAACACAGATAGTGTGAGGGATAACGATACTATCTGGCTGTCCAAACCTCAATAGATGGAGCGGTTCTCGAACCCGTGGCCTACTGTTTAAAACCTAACTGCCTAAACTAATGAGCTACAACTTCACTGTTAATGTAATTCATCCTACCATTGCAATCCCCATCTTTAAATTACGACCTGGTCCAGACCAGATCATCTTACACTTTGCATGTGCAAAATGCATGCTAAACATACTCATATTCCTATTTAAGGCGTTCAAGAGGATTTGCATTTTGTCGTCTTCGTCTAACACCATTATGACGCCGGTGTACTCCTTCACACAAGAGTTGTGGCCCATTACCTACTGCATGAACGTGTAAAAAGTTGCCGAAGGAATTCCGATTATATAACAAACTTGAATAAGATTGTTGACAGTAGATTTCTTTGGCGGACACCATTGGTTGGCTTAACTGCAAGCAACAATTTTCCATAAGTCCCTGCACGGCTATAAGTCAGGGTACAGGCCTTTGATAAGTATTATATACTTGCTCGGTACTCTCCACATAGTCAGATACTACCACAACAAGCCTCGATCGGTAAAGTTGAATACTACCTTCAATTCAAAGATGACAAGTGTCGGTTGATTGTGTTCCGACACCTAACAAAGAGTGAAGTTCTGGTTAATAAACTCATGGCCAAGTCTGAAACCTAGCTATTTCTTGCAGCTTTTTTTCTAAGCTACATTTAGACATCGGATGACAATGGACCATAGTAGTGTAGATAAACAGAAAAGGCAACAGAGACAGGTAATAGTAGAGTTGTTTACACTAATCAAGGAACTGGTTAGAAAAAGTTCATGGTTAGTTCGACGACAACGGAGAGGTATGGATTTTCAACTAAGAGTAAGTGTCGATGAGTGTCACAGTTTTTTTCCAGTTCTTACAGATCCATTCAATCAGATAGTATACACAATATTACTTTATTATTCTAACTGATCAACTTGTGACTATGTCAATACACAATGTTATTGACATAAGCCTCCAATCAAATGACATCAATTAAAGGGCATCGTACTGCTGAGTTTACGAGCTTCACGACAACACTGAGAAATGATCGACAAAATTCGGTCAGTATTCACTCAGGAATCGACAGTATGAAAGTATTTACTCTCCAGTGATCAATCGATGAATAATAATAATGATAAACAATGAAACTTAACGACCCCATGGATATTTTTGCACTAAGCTTTTAGTCAAATATCTTGTGGAGAGGGGGAGCAACTGCCTAAGTCTCAATATGTGAGGTGAACTCGAATATCTGACCCACTGTGTTGATTTTACTAGTTAGTTACGGCGCTACCTAAGCCATAAAATCCAAATACTTACTAGAGTTAATATGCAATATACATCACAAATGTAAGACAATAAAATAATATTCCTACTTGTTCCATTTTTTCAATAATTTCTTTGGGAGCCACAATAACAGGCGCTTCTTCAATAATTTTTTGATGTCTACGTTGAACTGAACAATCACGACCAAATAAACCAATAGCTTGACCGTAAATATCACCAAGAATTTGAACTTCTAAATGACGAACAGCGCTTGCATACTTCATTACAAAAATAGGTGAACCAGGTACTTCAGCCTGTACCTATACAGCAGAACAGGAATTAAAACATGTTGCAAAAAACAGAAATAATAAGTACTGTATTGATGAGAAAATATGATTTTAAAAGGATTAACTTTTATGTACCGAAATGAAGGTTGCCCACCATATTTATCATGATTGCTATAAAAATTATATAATAAACACACTTTTCAAAAGCTCACTGCATAACAAAACTTTTCAACTACCCATTAACATTTTTGAAGCTTGGCACCTAAAAACACCTTCAATTTTTAATCCACCTGTAAACATGGTGAAACACCATCCATGTAAAATTCACAAGAAAATAAATGCATTACTAGTGTTATTCTACGTTTGTACGGAGTGCATCCTAATAAAATTCTTACAGTAATACCATCACTTCAGGAATAACAGAATTTCTCACTGAACGAAAACTTCACACCTGTAGTACCTGTAAAGAGCTGTTCCTAAATGAATGAATGATTAGACGGAGAATCACCTGTTACTTCCATACACATTTACAGACACTAACTTTAGGATACAGAAAAAACTATGAATAATGATTTGTAAAAGGGGTCACTGTTTAAGCTTAAGTAAAACATGCAAGGCATTGTTTTCATACACTAAAGAAGCATATTGTACAGGTATACAGTACAGGAGAAGGAGACGGAAATTTCGAATAGTGTGCTGGTGCAAAGAAACTGTTGAGCCAGGTTTCACAAAAAATATTTTCAATCAAATCAAATAAGAACCGGGTATTCATTACACCTCTTAATTGTCAGTTTCATGTTCAAAGGTGATTATATGTCATCTAGATAAGGATATGTGATTATTCCCTTTCTGGGTGTGCACGTTTTTATGCTTAGACACAACCAAAAGGATATTACAGATTAAAGATGAAAATGCAATACCAACATTTTTGCCACCAAAAACCATGTATATCACCGTACATGCTTTTATGAAAGAGAACCCTCTTAGATGTTGTGCAAAACTGTCATAAGATCTGTTAAAGAGGAAATTGCGGCAAAAAGATCATGTAACACTTGTCACACCATAGCCATAACATTCCAGTCAGGTTTGTATGTTAAATAATCTCGAACGCTCCTGGTAAGATTGTTTACACTTCCATAATTTAAGCAGAACAAATTCATATCTCTATTTTATTTCTGCCCAATCATCATATTGTTTTTCCGACCGATAGCTGCCACCATGACGTGGAGGTCGAACTTGTATATCACAACGACCCAACGAGCTATGCGAGTGGAACGCTTGTTCCCTTGAGGTCCTACCACCACACCAGAAAGGCCTCAGGACGAAGTGGTACTACTGGCTGGATGAAGTGTGACACCAATGACGTATTTCCTTTGGTTAACCAGAAGTAACACGCTGATGCTGCCTTTCCCTATGGGAAGGGGGTAGAAAATGGCACCCCAAAAATAAAACATTCCCATCCCCCTCCACGGTATGCCAATCCCTGCAACAGGCATTCCCAGTCAAATCCGAAAGCAAACAATCTCAAACCTGCAGAAAAGTCGTATGTGACCAGCCTCAAGAAGAGATGCCCCTTGGGCTCTGCGGTCACGTACTATCCCTTCTCTTTCAGGTACCTAAAGAAAAACTAGCCTTCCACAGTCTGGGTAGCCAGGAAGCGTCAGCCGCCCTCACGTTTCCAATGGTACACAAAACACAATCGTATTCTCTTCCTCTTTTATATTCTCCGCTCATTCATTCCCCCATCTAACATCTTTTTGCTTACACTTATTATATTTATTACAAAAGTCGAGAGATTTGTTTACCTAGATTTTGATTTTTGCTACCACAGTAACTTGATTGAAATGTTTTTCCCTTTCAAATAACTGGTTACTTGCTCGCATCTTTCTTATCAAAATGCAGCATTTAATAATCAACCATACAAATGAGTTTTTCGCTCCCAGTTAGTTGCACCTCACACCTCAACCGTATGCTTGTTGCTTTTAAGGTGAATGATATGCAATTTATGGCTAATCCAAAGTTTTCAGTCGATGGTAATTTCTAGCGAAATCTATAAATTCTCTAATTTCTGCTTTCTGTATACGGACCTGTGAATGGACAGAAGTGAAAAGACATTAAATCCCCTCAGTAATTACTTGCGAATTTATGCACTAAGTAATGGATCATAAATATTATGTTAAGGGCAATGATAACACAAGGCTTCAAAAAACCTCGAAAACGGGACGGGACTCGAAACCATGACCCACTCGACCAATGAGCCATACTTGAAGAATCTTGAACAGATGGTTTTGTAAACATCCGAAAAATCACAGTCAGGCAGCCAACACGACGCAGATCACAAACTACTTCACAGGATGATTTCACCTTTTTGCCTCCTCACTCTTAAGCTTTTGTCCAATCTGATCCCACTCCAGGTAACAATGATCTTCAGGGAAAGCAGAATCGAAGTATGTTTGACACATCTTCTGGCCATAAATATCTCCAGTGGTTTTCCAATACAAATTCGCGGAATTCTTGGACAAATTATAATTCTATATTTGTTGAGTCTTCTTTACTGAAAGTGTGATACATTGTATTAGGTATTCCAGTTTCAGCTAGTAATGGGTAACAAATGAGAATATCGCTATTTCTACCAAGGTAGTGTATTCATATAATGCCGATTACCATCCCACAATAGATGATTGACTGCCTAATACGCAGTTTTAAATATTTTTTGAGTTTCACGACAGCCAAAAATGTTTAGCCGAAAATACTATTATTAGGATTTATGGATAAACAGAAATAAACAACATAAAATCCGGTGTAATCTTTTGTCAGTCTGAGAAGTTACACTTCGAATTGGTGGATTAAGGAAAAAGTCACTAGTAAGATAGGAAAATGAGGGTTTACATCAATTGTTGCGAAAATTCACGAGAAAGAGAGAAACAGATATAATAATTAGCTAGGCAACGGACTTAGTAAGAGATAAGGCATGAAATCACCTGCACACCACTTCAAACATTTCTTTAAAATATTATCACTATACTCTGTTGCGTCACGAACAAAACCTAGTAAGTTTAGACTTCCATAAATGAGTTGGACTACAATCAAAAACTTCATGGATTGGTGTTGTGTTTGCACATTTTCATAGATCTTCAGATTCTCTATATTTCATTATGCATCTATTTCGTCGTAAAACATGTATGACAATTCGTTTATTCAAACTATTCCTGCAATAATGCACATCAAAAAGGTCACAAACCTGGGGGAAAAATCGTTCAACATCTGCATTATTCATTGCCTTTCGAATTCCTTTACCTCCACCACCGCCAGAAGCTTTAATCATAACTGGATAGCCAATCTTCTCAGAACATTCTAAACAGCTTGCCAAGTCTGTTACACAACCGGCGCGATACAGTTCTTCAGATATTGGACTGGTATGCATAGGAGATCTCTTAGTTAGACTAGAAGACTTGATAACATAAGAAGATTCATCATTTTCTGAGTGTTTGCTAGTCGACTGTCCATTAGCCAGTCGGTCGAGTGATATAGTCAGCCCTTTGAAGTACACAATATGATAAAAGTGAAAATCCACTTGAAAAATAAACAAAGTTTATGAGGTTTTTACACCAATGAAATTTTCCAGTTTAATGAGCCTCGTAGCCACAGAAATTGTGTCATAAACAACAAACCACCAGTACACAAGAACACCTTTCTTCTCATAGGCACATGAAAGCTGATCGAATGAATGGTGCAACTCATACAAAAGTAATTGAGCAGTTCTTCAGACACCTTACTGTGAAGTAGATTATTACTCACATAATTATCCAAGGCATTTAGAACTATCCTTAAGAGATAACAGTTAAGGAAATACGAACAATACAAAAGCGTGCGGTGGTGCGCTTAATTCGAGGGAAAACTTTTCAGTACAGAAAATCCAGCCACATCACCTTATACAGTTTAGGTAGTCCATATACACTTTATATCAAAAGCTGGATACATGAATTTACTTTATATGCATACATCATTCACTAAAGCTCACGCCAATGTAACAGTATTTAAGTTACAAAAGAAATAAAGAGCGGACTCTTCTAAACAGAGTAGTTGCGATTTATGCTGCTAATCACTAACGATTCATGAATCGATTCATTAGCCCACATTATAATCTAGGTGGAATCAATTTGCAAACGGAACATACACAGCGTATGCTAAAGTGGTTTAAATTTCTGCTGAAAATAACCAAAAAGATTTGCATTGTATGTACAACACCTAGAATTAAATCAGATGTTTGATCAATCCACTTAATTAGCTAGCCGTAATTAGCGTGGTTTAGGAAATTCCGCTTTCTGAGCTGAAACAGTTCAGGCATACCACTGATGAGCTAGGTTCCAAACGAACAAAACGGCTATCAAGTGTTTAGATTTGATATGCCTAGATATTTATTTAGTGGTATACTTTTTATATATAGCACCTATTACACAAATGTATAAGAACTCTAAATTACTCAAATAAACAGACGAGGATAATAAAGAATAATCTTAAGGAAATCTTATAGAAAATACTCTATATTTAGTATCGAACCACAACTTGATATCCTGCGTAATCAACTACGCATTTTACATAAGGTTGGTGAAATTGGTTACAAAAGATGAAGTAATACAAACAACTACTCTGACTTATAAATTCCAAATAAATCCCAGCGTGTGAAAAGAAGATATGTGATAAAAACCAAGGCGTTTAAACTAACTCCGGTCATTCTAAACGCTTGCAAATAACTGCATTTTTCGAAAAAAAAAACAACGACGAAAACAGATGGAACAAAAGAAACAGTGGAAGTCTACGTGATATCAAACACTGTTAACAATCGTCAGCAAATAGTATCATCATCATCAAGAAAACCCCTGTTCCTCAGGAGAACCGGATCTACTGCTCTCATTCCCAAAGTCAAACCTGAGAACTACGTTACCCAGTCACTAATCCATCCCCATAACCTAGTCTTACAAGTGAACATAAATTACAAGGCCATAGATAGGTTTTAAAGACGGACATAGATCAGTGCAAAATCCAGGTAAATTAAGAATATCTACCGATTTGTTGAAAAAATCTGACTCCTAGCTTTATCTCTCGATGAAACATCGGTCTACTCTATTTCTTTGGAATAAAAAGTTTATGCCGAAATCCTAGGTTTTCGCAACCAATATCTCTGTCACCAAGACAGTTCATTTCCTCTGAAAAAAATTCAACAAACAACCACCTTTTGTACACTGTACCTTTCCCAGATTCTTTCAGAGCTTCAAGAGGTTTAGTGGGTGTCTCTCACGGAAACGGGTACCGAATACGTGCATCACTCTGTTGAAGACTTTGTATTCGAAAACCCATGACAGGATATCAGATGGGTCTTTTACGTCTATAAGTGTCCATCAAGGATGTCCACCTGTTCTATTTCAAGTGGACTTCCTTACAGATATGCTTATGGAAGTCTACCTATCGTCATCTTACTTAACAGGGACTGAGCTTGTTACAGAAGGCTTTTAAATAGACTAAAAGCATATGAATGAAATTGTTCTGTTAGGTGAAGACGCTGACAAGATGCAGGGTCTTCTGGGCACCTTGAGTGATAGTTTGAGAATGTTTGAGATGCACTTCTCACCTCCAAAATGGAAACTATAGCCGTTGGACTAGTCTATGTTGATACCTTATTAGACAGTAGGGAGAAAAATGGTTCAGTACGTTGAATACTTAATTTTGGAAATCAAATAAGCCGTAGAGGATAGGTGATCAATATAACCTTTACAGGGATACAAAAGTTTCAATTATTTAATGAGAACCTGGGCCATTAGTGAGAAATGAGACTGCCTGCCAAGTCGCGCAATGTTAGCTAAAGTAAGTTCTGGACGGAAAAAAAGATAGGCAATCAGATTAAAACATCAAATAGGTCCATAGAGTCTTTAACTCCTGGTGTGAGCCATGTAAGGAAATACAAACTTGTCAGTCAAGGTCCAAAATCAATGGTTGGAGACTTTAAGTGACATGGCTCAAAATCAATGACACTGGCACAAATACATTCATACATTTTGTTATGAGTTTCGTTATTTCATGCTCTATCCCCATATTTTTATGACTTTTCTATCACTTTCTTCCTCATTTCTTTGTCTTTATTCTTCTTGCTTTCAACTTTGATTTACCGACATGAGGTCTGGCGAAGTGGACCGTTATGCAGTAATAAGGAGTCCCACGTTGACACTAATTGTCTAGAGTTTAGATGTACCAACAAACCACCCAGTACACGATTAGTAATTTTTTAAATGCATAAAACGACTAGTAGATATAACAACAAACTAAAAAATATGTTTACCACTTACCGGAACCACTCCAAGGAAGAGTTGGCACACAAGCACTTTGAGCGAGTATTGTAGAAGCAACCTTATCCCCAAGCGTCCACATAGCCTGGTGCGAAGGACCTAGGTGTGAATAATTGAGTAATGGAAATCAACGGTAAGTATACTTCTTTATACTAAATTACTTAGGAAGTCAGTATGGAAAGACTATTGGTGACATGTTTCAATTACAGAAAAGCCATTCCGCTGAATATTGTCAACAAACTTGGTCTGTTTTTAAAACATCTACCCACTGAAAAATTTTTACTTTACCATTCATTTAAAATGAATGAACAATGGCTTTTTTTATTTATCGAACTGTTTTAAAGTTAAGAAGGACACATGGTACATCAGTCGACTTACCAAGAAATGCAATATTATGTTTACCAAGGACATCGGGTAACTGAGGATTTTCTGAAGCATGACCCCATCCAGCCCATACAGCCTGAAGAAGAGAACCACAAATAATGCATCCTTATTAAAAGGAATAAAATTCATAGGCAAACGGATGACAAAGATGTAGATTCACTATTATGCCCTCTGATTACAAACTCCATCATCCATCCTCCTCCTATTTCCCCCCCCCCACCGACCAAACAGAACGAACAACCAATTCGAATTTTATGAAAAACTTGTAAATGATTAGCATACAGGTAGAATCCTGGCAATGCAATGAAGTCTAATTTCAATACAGTTCTTTTATTAGTTGTATTGCACAATGAAACAGTAATATGACAATAAAATGAGCCATAATGAATTATGCGTAGAATGTCATCCAGTAGGTAATACTAATTCAATGTATGATAAACTTAACAAACAAACTATGGTGGAATACATCAGCGACACTTCATTATGTATAACTCTATACGAATAAATTAGAGGTTTTCCTATATTTTTTCTTCAACAGCTCTCGTACTCCAGTCAATTTCAGATAAAAAGGGTCTATAATTCTCAGCTACCTACTTTAGATGTACAACTTACACCAGTTACCAATGCGATAGTAAAATGATTCATCTACAGGAAACCTACAAGGAAAACACCTATTTCAAATTTTCACAGTCTGTCGTCACCAAACATGGATAGTTTTCTTATCTACCTCGCGGTACTATAGCTGTGGTCCAGTGGTTTAGGGTGATGACTACCAACCACTGGGCCACAGGTTCGATCCCCGTGCCATCTACCGAGGTTTAGGCAGGCAGGTAGTATCACTAGCGCTATCAGTCACCAACCTCAACACACGATGTTTACTGAAGTGTGAATCTGATAAAATAAGGCGAATGGTGGCGAAAACAAGACGTGGTACAATTGTACTAATTGTCTGACTGCTGTTCTGGATTGTGTAGGAGAACGTAAACTCCCCAGTTGCAGTCCTCAAAATTACAGAAATCACTGGTGAGACACTTGGTATAGCTCAAAATTGATCACAATTGAGCAGTTGTATACATTCTTGACATCTTCGAGATTTTGACCATTTCTAATAAGCTTCATCTTTCTTTCCTCTAAAATTTTAGAAACTTTTGTCAATTTGAATGCCATTCTCTTTGATTTCACTTCCTCTTAACATGCTGCCTTAAAGCGTGGCAACTTGCACTGGTGTGCATCTACGCTAGGCTTTACGTTTCTGTCTGCACTCACAAACCATACCATTGCACTAAGAGTATGCGGAAATGTATGGTTCCATGCGTATGACGTCTTTTTTGTCCAGAAAAACAAAATCCTAGAAGCGAAGTACAAATATCACTACATTAAGATACAATACAGGCAATATGTAACTTCAAATAAACCCATTATGAATTAGACAGAGAAAGCGACTGAGAGGAAAAAAAGCATACAAGATTTGTTTACACGGATCTAATTTCTTATCCTATCAAATGGTTATTTATATGAAGTATTTTAAAAATACATATTGCGTAACACTACACACAAGCTAATTATGTTTTTTTAAACTGCATATTTATAATAGTGGATAAACATATATGTAAACGTCACTACAACTAAATTATTTAACCAAATCATTAGTGGATGGATCGGAATAAATTAGACGACATATATATTTCACAGTCAAATATCTAAATTAGTCTGAATGAAACGATATTGAAATTTGGATTCACTAGTGCATCAATTGTTCTAATCGTTACACCTTTTAACAGTAAACGTATGAAAGTAAAGAGAGAAAAAGAACAGAATGCTTAAAAAAGAACACAAAGCGATGGTGAATTAGGTCAGAAGTAGTGGGAATGGTCGGATTTATGAGAATACTGGAAAGTAACTTTTAATCATGACACATTGGATTCATAGATCATCAAAGTCTCTACAACGTCACATGGCCAAAGTACATTCATACAACTCAAAACAACAGACAGTCAATTAAGGGATCAATGTCATACCTTGTCCTGAACATATCTAGGAAGATTTCGACCGACTGTTACTATCATTGATGCTATACTATAAGGTAGATGATCTCATTGACTGGATAACACATCCAACCATAGGTCCGAATGACAACTGAAAGCAGTAGGTTGTCGAATACTTAAGCACTCTTAACATTTTGAAAGTATGGAGCAATTGTGTACATACTCACTTTGAACAACACACTTCATGAATTACAAACCAAAACAAGTTCATCGATTTCCCTGGATAAATAGAAAGAAGATACCTACCTACAGAACATAAGCCGAATGACAGACAAATATACAAGATCAAAACAGGACCATCCATCACCACTGTCAAATGGTCCATGCTCCAAAACCTCATATCAGCGCGTCAAACGAAAATACTCCAAAATGATAGATCAAGAAATACAAATTAAAGCAGTCAAAAGTGGTAGAAAGTCATCAAAAGAGTGAAAGGAAGAATGACAGAATACTGAAATTCTACATGACGATTAAGATGCTGATAGTGTGTGGATACACCTGCGCCACTGTGATCAATTCTGAACTATATAACCTATAGTTTCCAAACACTAGTTCCCATTGTCACGTGGACACCAACCGGAAGTCTACATTTCCTTACATAAATCAAAAAAACAAAGACATTACAGGTACTGCTGCCATGCTTCAGTCTAACCACCTCTAACCCTCTTCCAGTCTAAAACAACATCTAAAATTGTAGGACAAGGCGTATGGTGACTAAGCTTGCGTAACATACCATAACGGTAATTGATTTTCGCCTTACCACTACCCAAGTGACCTTTCTGGTATGGTAGCACTTTGAGGGAGCAAGCTTTTCACCAGCATCACTTGCTGGGTCATTTTGATGTATTCAAGTCCGACCACCACACGAAAGTAGTAGCTATCGGTCAAAATAAGAATAATAGCTAGTAGCCAGATGTTATCGAGTAATTGGCTTATGATATCTTATGGTATCACTATTCAACTGTCAACCAATGAATCAGGCATTAAAACCTCACTCCCTACATTTTAAACTAGGTAGTCAAGTTGTATTTTCATCGCTAACAAGACTGCAGTTGCTTAAACTCTAGTGAACGAACTGATACTACCTTCCTGCCTTACTTTTTCAATTGCCCATCTTCAATATTTGCCTTGCAACTAAGCAGTACAATGGGATACTGTTAACTAGAATCCTCAGACACCTTCAACTTATAGCAGTTACGAATCATAAGTGGACCGGCCAATATATACCACCAAGAAGGATGTCATGATGTCAAATCAAACTAGTATATATACGCTGTAGGTTTCATCAAGCAAAACATGACGTGTATTTATCGACAACTTACCTACACATAAACAGACGACCTTTCAATGATGTATTACAAAGGTGGGATCTATTCGAAAGTTTTCTGAATGCTTTCTTTAGTATGGGAACACACACACACACAAAACCATTACTCATGTGCTTTGTCTGTCAATTAACTAACTGTGTTTACTCGTATGAATATACACTCAAGACACCGGTGCACCGAAATTATTTGTCAGAAAACTAATAAGCTGGACTTACATCAACTTCATTCGTTACAGCAGTTTGTAGAATAAGTTCAACGTTTGCATAGTTATTCACATTTGAACCACCTGGAACGAAAACCAGTTTGTTAGCCATTTTTATGTATTCAGCATTGGCTTGTATATCTTCTGGTGTAGCCATGCATACAAAACGTAGAACATCTGAGCTACCAAATGTTGCGTAAGACCACTTTCTTAGGGAACGCATACATTTAACTGCTGCTATACCATTGTTTGCGATAAGAATCTTCACAAGAAAAAAAGACGACAGATAACAAGTATAAACTTCACAGAAATCACCGTATAACTTTAAGCCACTTAACCTAGACAATATTTTTAGAACAGATGAGGGGATACGAACATCAACATATAAATTACAAGTTGGAGTAAATCATAAGGGATGAATGTGTGGCGCCATAGAATTAGGGCATTCAGTATTCCAATACCAGGTTTCGCGCTCCGACTCATCGTGTTCATATAAATTTATGGAGCTAGGCGACACCATTAATCACCGCAGAATAGTTGTGATTTACATTTTAAAATGTGAGCATGTATGTGACAATTCAAATGCAATTCTTCGAATATGAAAAGGGAGTCTAGTTTTCATGAGCAGTTTGATTACACTCTGCAACACCAACAAAACAAAAATCCTGCATCTTAGTCATTCGAAATAAGCATTACCCTGATTAGCTGACAGTCACCATTCATCTGATTCCGTCAAATGCTAGCAATGTTACGAAGATATCTGTGGTCGAAACCGTGTAATCACTTCGTATCTTCTTCCCATAGCCACAAGAGTACAGAATGGACCGCAGAGCAGTATACCCGTTCGTTCATAGATAGTCGGATATCTCATCAATCGGTGGCAGAGATGACGCAAGTTGCAAATGATAAACAGGTTTTCTCTATCCCAGCTGAGATTTCGTAATCAACCAACCCATTTTAGGTGATGCAGCTTCCCAAGTAAGTTAAGTAGTCAGTGCACTTGAACATTTATTTAAACATCGTTGAACTATGAGTTTGTGGAAACCAATCTTGAAGCATCATCCTACAGATGTGAAACGCATGCCAAACGCTCAGATTTCAGCTAAAACCGTTTAAAATACACTGCATTTTGTTAATCTTCAGTCAACAAGCCAATGTCACCTGAGTACTCCAAGTCAACCAGATGCCATCCAGAGAGTAGGTTAATCTCTTCAAAGTTAAAGATATCTAAGGTTACGTCCATTAATACATATGTACCGAAATTAAACAGGAACCATGACAGCAGGCATGCCCAGTAGAAACAACTGGTTGTCATCACTTGAGATGACAACTCAAAAGGACTTACACATCTGTATGAGTTCGAGCAGAGAGCTCTGATTAGCGTTACACACTTACTCATTACTCCATTCACAATCAGACACTGCCGCAATGTGTTTCGGTTGACAGGGTCGAATGCCCCCCTCAGATAAAGAGATACGGTATGTGTCGGCCTCCGGTAAGTGTGTCTGGCTTCCATAACATGAAGAATGGAGAAGTTTCGACCGACGAACTCACTTCGGGATCAGAAAACTGCTTGGTTCTCCCGAGTTTGGTGTTCCTGAGCACCAACTCCGCTTCAGATAACTATGCACACCATATTCTTGGACAAGATAGTAACCAAACCGATTTCCCTATGGCTGATACGAGAAGATTCCTCTCCCTCTTTGTTATACGGGAATAATGGGTGAAGTAGATCAGTCTGACAAGACTACCTCTAGTTCTCAAATGCTAACTAATACCTCTGTCGCTCTAATTAACAATTCCTAGCACCATCTTCAAAAACGTCTCGCGTCAAGCCGTCATGTCTTGCTGCTTCCCATTGTTTCCCTTTTGACATGGCCTTCTCAACTTCGACCAGAATTGGATGTGAGACAACTGACTTGTTGCTGTAGACCAGTTGAAATGTGCTTCGAATTGACCCACCTAACGTCCTAGCCGCCTATCCCGAGACGTTATCAGCGTCCCATCCGTTTCGGTGGTGATTTCTCTAGCTATCGTCCTTTTGTTGCCGGTGTCCTTAATAAGCCTAAATAGTTGGCGGGTGCTACCCAAAGCTGATGCTTTCTCTATCTCTCTTGCTTCCACCACCCACCACTGCTTGCGATCATCGAGAAAACCCTCGTTCCAGGTTGCTTTCGCTCTTCATTGTGGTCAGAGGCGGCTGGAATCAGTCCTATCGCATCAATCAGTTCGGATGATGTTGCGAAAATCCAATGACGTTTCCCAGGATTAGTCACTCTTACTATGTACAGAATATAAATATTACTTGTCCGTCTATCTAAACCCTTTTCAGTGGAACAAGGGTCGAGTTTTTCAGTTACCGGTTTAAAGTACAGTATCCATACCAATAAATAATTATTTTATTAAAATCCAATGAAAGATGAGAAAAAAGCGCATGCTCATCACATGTATCACGACTAGATCTAGCGCATAACTACAGTTACACATTACCTCACTTCTCCAGATATAACTAGCAATCCTAGAATCACGAAATCATATTGAGTACATGAAAGAGCAAGTGATAGATTAGAAAAGAAACTCAATTATATTGTCAAACAGTAACTGAATTAGTACTAAACGACTCCCTCAAATAAAAATACTGTGGCTTTCTGTATGTATTGCAGAGTAAAATACAGATTACCATCCTTCATGAGTTACTGGTGTTGTCCAACTCAAGAATGATGCTGCTGCACAGCATAAAAACTAATATACTGCTAAGAGATGTGGATAACATTCAGGGAAAACATATCAAACTGTAGAGGGCAAAACCAGATGACATCACCACCGAATTTATCAGTAAGTGAATATTAGTCATTCAATGGACCGCATTTCAAACGTCTCATCGTAATACAAATTATTTTGTACCCGTGGGAGTCTTGATTGACAATTTCCTGCATCAATTCACATCAGTTTGTTTTGTAGCATAAAACGACGTACTATTAATTCACTGACATAATACCGGTGAATTATCTCAAAATAGGAAAAACAGATGTCCACTGATCACTGGTTTTAGATGGTTCATTGACTGATGTCAGCTGGTAATGCCTAGATTATTACCTGATGGGTAGATAAAACTGTGAACACTACGTATTATGTGGAATCAGTGTATAATATGTCAGATAAATAAGCAAACATGGGATTATGCCATATTACAGTCCCCAAATTGAACTCTAAGATTTCCCAAATCAATTCTTTTGCTATGACCAAAGCTGTAAGTACAATTGATTTACTAATAAGATACACTAGTTCATAACCTATTGATGTTAAAATTAAGAAAAAATAGTGAAATGAAATTGAATGGATATAAAACTCACTCTGAGTAAAATGTTCAGCATAAAAAGCAATAGAACTCTTACTAAACTAACCTTTTCTATAATTCTTACTCCTCCTGACTTACGTACAAAATCTTCGGGTGAAGAAAACCGGACTTTAAAATTTGAACAGACCCTGTAAACGTACACAAGGATAGAAAAAATTCGGAAAATTCGAAAGTGTGATCATCTACAAACAAGTAAGCATGATGAAGAGACAAGAGAAAAATAACAGAGCTTGACATAGCTGTGAAACGAATTATAATGCCACAGTTCACATCAGCATATCAAGGTGGGATCCAATAGGAAGGACCACAAAATGAAAACAGTATTATCAAAAATTGTAACGAGTTACAAGAAGAAAACAAAAGACGATCAAAAGATAAGGATAAATCAGTTCCATAAACCGATTAATACCAACCTTGGACTTGACATTACCGCATTGCGACCAAAGCTACACACTAAATATCCCCACACAGATAAACAGTGCAAAAATGCAGAACACTCACATGCAGGATGAGAAGTAATCACATTTCAAAGAAAGTAATATTCAGAAGGGAAGGGTAGGGCAGTAATGAAATGTGATCTAACGATTATCATAAAAATAATCCCAACCAATGTGAAAGGTGATGAATAAGTTTGTGCAACATAAAAGATATTTCATAGGATGCACATGGCTTTCACCGTGCTGTCTTCCAACTTCATGTACTGATATGACATGTGACCACTTAAAATACAACGCTGTAATACCACGTCCCGTGTTGTTATTACCTTGGCTGATTATGATAGTGATAGTCTCACTAATAACGCTATTTTTCGTGCCAGTTTTCCCAGTAAAACTAGATTATTCTTTAGCATAATTTAACATGTAAAAAGAATAAGTGTACATGACTTAGGGAATATGATAAAATATAACAGATAACCGTTACAGCATCCATAGCTTTGCCAGAGAGCTCAAACGGATTTTTAAGTGCAAGAGCATTATTATTTTTAACTTCAGAAATAAAACTACTAAAATGAGCTTATTGGAGACCGGTTATTTGAACCTTTTTTGGTTAAACTAAGCTGCAGAATACTGACTTAATAAACTTTTAACGGTAATTATTTTTCACACCTTTGCGTTAACACTCAATTTCTCTTGTTAACACTAACTTTAGGCGTAGACATGTTGGTCTGTATTGAGGACAAAAGAATAAATGCTGATAAATCTTATAATGCGGTATTTGTACAAGAATCCCACAATGAATAAGGGTTACGATTCCCTATTTAGTGAAACAAGAACGACAAATTAGGCTTAAAATACTTCATCACTACTCTACTTACTATTTAAACATTTGATAACTTGTACAGGTTTTATTCTCTGAAGGAGCAATTCCCATGAAGTCACGAAAAGTCAGAAATTTATTTTTCTACCTCATTGGGATTTTACAAATATATTTTATTTATGCTTCATTACTACGATGAAAATACTTACTTATGTGCATGAGAGCTATAATCTGAATTATCATCTGAACGACCTAGTTTCCATTCAACGCTGTGGGCATCCTGTACGACTGCCATGCTTGAAGACACTAAAATGAAAAATACTGCTTATAAATATGCAAATTAACGTACGAACAAAATGCAGTTAGGTTAATTCACCATAAAATAAAACTCTGCCGCTTACTTTGGATGCGAAAAAAATTGTTGATAGTGTTTATATATCAGTCATTCATAAAATTAAAACTTGGAAAAATGTTTTACTTGCAGAATACATTTCATCTTTTGGAAAAAATAATCATAATTCACTTTAGCAGCTACCTACATGCTCCTTTCTTACAATACGGTTCACATTTATCATTCGAAGACAAATGACCCAACATGACAGGGACTGACCTAATCTCCTACCTGAAGGTTGTCTGCTTGACTTAGAGTATACAGACGATATTGTCCTGCTAGGTGAAGATGCTGACAAAATGCGAGATCCCCTGAACGCGTGGAGCAGAAATCTGAGTCTTCGGCGTGCATCGCGCCCCCATCAAATCCAAGATGATGATTCAAAAATAATCTGCAACTATTCCCAATTTAACGATAGGGAGTGAAGTGGTGGAATGTGTCGAACATTTCACTTACTTGAAGAGTTGCGTCACCCGAACGGGTTGATTTCTGAAGAAGTCTCGGAAACAGAAGGCTCTTTGGATATTTGCCAACTTGCGCCATCTATGGCGTCGACCGGAAAGATATTAGACTGCCTGTTAGAGGATGAGTGTACTGCGCTGTAGTCCGTTTTGTCCTGTCATACGGGTGAGACATAGACGTTAAAAGTAGGAGACATGAAACGATTACAGGGTTTTGATCATATATGTCTTCACAGAATTCCTCGAGTTTGGTGTAATCATTGTACGAGCAGTGGTGAGGTCAGGCCCAGGGTACTAGGCAAGACACGCAAGGTGATTGATGAGGTTGTGAACCTTCACTCACTAAAGTGCCTTGGACATGAACTACACATCACGAACCACCACCTACCCCGATGTGCCATGGTAGAGGAGCTGGATTAAGTTGGAAGAAGTTTCAGGGTGATTAGACTAGGACCTCACACCAGTGAATTAAGTCTCTTACTATTTGTCTGAGCCGTGTGGGAAGATGTAGACTGCCTAGATGGGGCCCTTGAGCCAATAGGAATCAGTGATTGAGGACTGTTGTTGACATGGCTGAAAATGGGTAACAATGGCGCAGATATATTCACTCTTTGACATCTAAAGCTTGAATATTTGCATTAACCGTCATCTTCGAATTGTTTATTCTCTCATTTTGATTTTACTTTTTTTCTATCCGCCTATTTTTTGTGTTCTCTGAGGCGTCACAACTTAAGCCCATGCACCTATGTGCGAGATTCTACCTCGATTTTGTCAGTCAGTCACTCTGAAGCCAGGTCCGCATACATGACTCATTTATTTGAGTGCTAGACGAGTAAAATCAGCTTCCCGTCTGTTCACATTCAATGAAGAAATAAGTATAGATATGTATACCTACAAACAAATGGGAGAAATTAACGAGAAAAAATATAACTCGACATTCACATAGAATTATGAGCATTGGGCAACGAAAAAGTCGAACCTATTGCATCAAGACTGACAGCAACTGGTTGTCGAAACTCCAGTAAATGAAGAGAGGATAGAAACCACTACCTAAAGGTTGAGTGTTCAAGTCAATCAATTACAGCCTCACGCGATAAAATATGGATAGGAAGAAATTATACGAAAATAATTAAAATCATGAACACAGAGTACTCCTAGAGACACTTCAAAATCACGACTATTTTAAATCAGCGATCTGGTAAGTCTCAACTTCGCTACGTGTTGATTAGGATTGTCCTCGAATTCGGCTTTAGGTCGCGTTTCTTCCTTCTAATACTCATATACTTGATATGCACTCTTATTGAATAATTTGCCACGAACATAAATGTCAAACAATTAACTGTGGCAGGATCATTGCCTATCATAAATACAAAAAATAATAAGGGTAACATTGTTCAAAAATCACCTGTCTTTCTAAACTATTAACTTTGAACAACTGTATTATCTATTCAAATACCTGCACTATTTAGCGCCCTCTCAATTTACTAAAATTAGCCCAGAAATCTATTTAATAGGTTTATAAGTCACTTCGAATGATATCGTCAGACTGCGCTCGAATGTATAGAATACACGACAAAGGTTCCAGTGCTAACTCTAAGCCTTTAAAATATTTTCTTCTCTATCCACCTACTCTACTAACAACGTGTATGACTAAAAGTGAAAACAGGATCCATTATATTAGTTTCGAATTTTTCAGAGGCACTGGTAACAATAAAGCAAAAAAACAGTAGATAACGTGTAACGGCACTGTACAGTACCCAACCAACACGCGGAAATCCGAATAGACATTCTCATACCCACTGGCCTAGTGTTATTATTATTGTTATCATAACTATTATTAGAACACAAACTTGGTACAACAGTGGCACCATGAAATGTGCCACACAAAGTAATATAAGTATTTTGAAGACACAAAGCAAAGGGAAGTGGATAAAAATCGAATGATTAGAAAAGCAGTCCAGTAAGATTCATTCAAAACAAAACATTTATTACTTTTCAGCAGAAGATAGAAGGAAGCTACACCATGACTGCCACTGGTTTTCATTCTAAGTCATATCTGATAACGTCTCAAGCCGCTGTATTGTATGATCTATCGAACCCCACCCAAGGAGTCATGATGCACCAACAGATGCTAAAACGATACAACTATTCTTCATGCCACTGTGCCACGTCATACGCAAACCACCCTCCCTTGCGCCACTTCTTCCATCCAGTGCCACGGTTGGGACATGTGCAATACATGTAAATGACTTCACTTATAACGATCCCCATCACAGCCGAAAACACGCTAACGTATCTCAGAATTACATGGTGTTGCAGATCAATACGAGCAATCCTACGGAGACAACGGTGATTAAACACAAAGAGTCGCCGTACATCGTTAGTTTGGAGGACAGGTTTCACAGGCATAGGGCAGAAGTGCGCTATAAACCCGGCGTTTTATGGTCAGACTAACGTCCTCGAGGCGACTAAGGTGGCTCAGATTGGCGTACACCACTTTGGCTTTTGATATGCGGTTAGAAAATCACACAAGTACCCAGAAAGACAACCTTTTTGATCACTTTCAACGTCTCACCATCAAGGGTGAACACAGGCTCCTGTCAACCTTCCAAAAGTACTTTGCACTTCGATGGTGCAAAGCGTATACCATATTTACGGACGCTAATCCCCAACTGACAGTGCGATTTGAGTAGCCTGTGTGTTAACGAACAGTGAGATGATATTGTCTCACAGCCGTTCTCCCGGTAGTAGATCTTCACCACCATGATGCACCTCCAGAAATGTTTCAAGAATGCCATCGATGGTAACGCTAAAGAGGAATGGAGAAATCGAACAACTTTTCCTAACTTCACTGCTGGTTTGGAACAATGGAGACAAGTGATTGTATGTCCTCACTCTACCTGAAGTGTTATTATATAGGGCTTTCAACACGTTAGTAAATTTCTCAGACACGCCCCTCTGTAACAGACAATTCAAGAGAATAGATCTGTTCAACGAATCGAAGGCAGCCCTAATGTCAAGAAACAACGATTTCTGGCCTGCAATATGTGTGACAGTGTTCAAGCATCTGGTTGAGGGTAAATACATTATCAATGCATCTACGACCTGAGCAAAATCCGCCACGCTCCTCATGAATCGTTTCCTTACGCGTTTCGCAAAGTCTATGAAGTATGGTAGAAGCCAAAATTTTCGGCGCGACTGGTAACGTACTAATACTCCGATGATTCTCACATACGTTACATAAACCTTTTTTAAAGATAAGTACATTGATGGTCTCATTTGAGATTCATGGAACACTCTCAATCTGCCATATCTTCTCAAACAATCAAGTCGGTTTCCTGACAAGAGTCGTTCCTCCATCCTTAAAATGACCTGGGAGCAAGTTGTCTGGACCGAGTGCCTTGTGGCGTTTCAGAACTTGAAGTTCCTTATGAACCTCAGCTTTATTAAGCTTCAATGCTAAATGACAATGGAGCACGATGTACTTAAACTGAGGATCCTGGAGCTGTAGACCAGCTAAACTGCTCTTCAAAGTCCTCCGCCCAGCATTCCGGGCCTCTGAAAATTGTTTATCGGCGCACCATCTACTTTATAGACCGCCTCACTGACACCCGGCTTCTGACTGCCACTGGCTCGGAAGAGCCGGAACAGTTTCCGACTATTTTCAAAGGCATCTGCTGCTTGCACCTTACTCACGCCTTCTGACCACCAAACCTCACGGTCCTTGCGTAAATGTTACGTAATCGTTTACGCAAGACTTGCGCGAACCACTGCACTCGCCATCCGCCGGAATGGTCCGATGGGCGTCAAGAAGTTGCAAATACCTAGTGTTTATTAGCGGGACGTTCTTTCAAGCTAAAAGTGGCTTTACTTGCCATTTTCGTGGCGTCTTATTAATGAAGCCAATGCTCGTCAACACTTTCTGGAGGATCGGAACCTAGCCTTGAGTTTAGTTCGAATTTGTTTTCAGCTGCAATACTAGGTGCAACTAGTTTGGTTGCATCTACCTGTCCAGGACGACGGTCTTGATGACCACCAGAACGCAAGACAAGCTTAGCACATACTAAAGCATGATCAGAGTTCAGACTATTACTCTGTATGGAGCGGCAGCCCTTTATGCACGCATATCATCGGTAGCTGATTGCAATATGATCTGAGTCTAATTTTGAGTGGGAGAGGAAAGACGCCAAGTAGCAGGATGGCGGTGCAGGAAGTGCCGGAAGTTGGTGCTGATTAGAAATACGGAACGAAACGCACTCAACCACCTTGCACACATCCATGCAGTAGACAGTGAGCCACACCTATTTTGTGACGAGTAATAATAATACTTGGCTGGGCAAACCTCGGTAGATGGAGCGGAGTTGAAACCAGTAAACAACTGATTGGTGATCATCTCTCTAAACCACTGAGCTACATCTCTACTGGCTAGAAATAGGTTGTGAT